TATAAGTTCGGACACATTTTAGCGCGGATCCGACGTCCATATAATTGTAAGTCAATTGTCGTAGCCATTGGAATAACAAAGTAGTAATGTTAAATCCCTCTCCTGTGAAACTTGGCTAGGTGCGGATACGCGTCTTTTCCAATACTACATACGCGGATTTGAACTATCTCCGACGTTATCATGTTCACTGGCTAAGAATTGCTCTGCTGAGACCGGTTGGCGTGTCCGAGAACATATCCACTGTGGCACTAAGCTCATTGTGCAATGTGGACAGACGGGAGACAGGCGAGTTGAGACCTAGTTTAGTTCTTCTAAATAGTGTTGACGAAGGGTAACAATCTTACGAGTCTATGTGCAATGGTAAATTTGAACATTGCGGGTAGTCAGTTTTTTTAATAATTAATCAGTACAGAGTACTAAAAAAACCGACCTCAAAAGTCATTCATCCCCTAGTTTGCCACCCTTAGAGGTGAAATATTTTGTTCAAATTTAAACGGGACCACATGTGAGAAAGAATCATCAAAATCGGTTCACGAATGCTAGTAGATAGAGATATTAGAGAGATAATACGAGTTATCGCGTAACATACACACACAAAAAAACACACAGTCGAATTGAGCACTCCTCCTTCTTTAAAGTCGGTTAAAAATATTAGACAACATCACATACGTTGCTCTGATCCCATAGTAAGTAACTAAAGCACATGTGTTATGGAAATCGGAAACGACAACGACACCACAAACACCCAGACCCGAAATAATATAAAGTTATTTTCTATATTGACCCGGCCGGGAATCGAACCCGGAACCTCAAAGATGGCGACACCGTGAAAACCGGTGTGCAAGCCACTGGAACACGGAGGTCGTCAAAAGAAGTTTTTAACCGACTTAAAAAAATTCGAAATTCGACTGTCTTTTTTTATTTGTGTGCATGTGGGTACCTCTGCAGTGGTTTAAATTTGAAAAAAATATTCCTCCTCCAAGCGTGGCAAATTTGGGGATGAAGTCGGTTTATTGAATTTTTCTCCTCTCTCCGTTAACATGAGAGATAACTTAAAGATATTAACATTATGAAAATGTTATTTATGTTAAAAAAATAAATAACGCACACACTCAACATAGCCCCACACTAGGGAAAATTACACCCAAACTCACGAGATAAATAATTGTAGGCCATACAACTATTTCTCCCGGCCCGGGAATCGAACCTGGGACCTCTGTGTGGCAGTCCGGCATGGTAACCGTTCGGCCACAGAGGCAGTTAAAAAAAATAATTTTTTTATTGAAAAATAATGACAGACATAACATTAATACCAGGAATAAAAATAACGAGCTGTTCTTGACAGTCGTCTTCATAAAATCTCAAATTCATTGCATACGCTTCCATAATAAGATTCCGATTGATATTCAAAATATCCCATTTACAAGAATTAAGACTATGGTAAAACAAAAACTTTATACTAAAGGTTAAAACTTGGTTTAATATTAAAAATAGATGTAATTCCACAAACGTTTATAATTATGTTATTTAAAATTTTGTGTTCGGAAGTTAGGTCCAAAAGATCTCTGCGTTTTTCAAGCGATAACATTTTAAACATTTTCAGTCTCGTTTTATAAGAGCGTACCTATTCTACTAACCGCACCAGCCGTACTACGCCACTACGCCAATTTTATGTTTTGGTTATTTTTGCAAACAGCCATATTTATTTACAAATATTATGCTCCCTGAATTTTATGAAAAATAAAATAAAAAAACAAAAAACAAAATTCGAAAAAAATGGCTAAACAGCACCTCCAATTAACACTTACACCGAATTTGTGGATAAAAAAAACAAAAAACAGAACACGTGCAAAAATTAAGTTGGCGTAGTGACCATTGGAGAAAAGAAAAGATGACGAGGTCAGTTCAACCGAATCAATGACTGGACAACATTAGGAGACTACTTTCTACTAGATATATTGTGTCGACAGATCGTGCACAAACTGATATATGATAATATAAATTGTCTCCGTGGCCGAACAGTTGCCATACTGGCCTAGAAGTCTCAGGTTCGATTCCCGGGCCGGGAGAGATACTTGTGGTTCCATGGCACCCGCGATACAGGGTTTACCTCTAGTGCAGGGCAGAGAACAGAGTGCAGGGATATGAGTGTATGCTTTGCAAAATGTAGATATTTCATCTTCCAAATTAAAACCGTAATGCTTAGATATTTTTAGTCTTTATTATATAGCGCCTCGGGCATGTTCGCAGCGGCGCAAGTCGACTGCTTCTACACGATCATGCGCAAACGTGTATCGGCACTGGTGAGCAGGGTACGGGCCAGCTCCAACACCATCTTACGCATGATAGCGGACAGGTTCGACTGTCTGTATATATACGCACTTGTCACTTTCATGTCATTACTAACACATAAGATCATAAGTAATTTTGTTACTATCTGTAGATTTTAATCAAGCCAATTTTTAATTTTCAACGTTTTTTTTAAATATAAAATATAAGTAACATGACAATAATATAATTTGAAATATGAAATATGGATTGTAATTATCTGAAATAAAATATTTTTATTTTATTTATTTACTCAGGGGCTTTGATCGTTATAAATAAAGCCCAAGGAACAGTAATGATGTGGCAACTACAATGTAATATTTTTTCGCCAACAGACTGCTCAATCCTATATTACTAATCGAAGGCCATGTTGACTATATCTAAAGGTAAACTACTCTACGCAAGACTATCATCCAATCGGTGTCGCAAGCGCAACTGTTCTAAACTCGCCGTCCTCGATATTAAGACAAGACGTTTCGTTCAGCTTTTGTTTTATCATAATCTTACAATTTCAAATCGATTTTACGAAATGGCGTGAAAGAAATTTCTATTTAGCAATGTCCGCCTGTTTTATATTAGATTATTATTATTTAATATACTTTATCATTGTTCATGTAATTCTTCATAATATGCAATAAAAAAGATTTCGTTAATTCAATTGATGTTTAATAACTGAAAAATATAGACATATTTAGTGGAAAAAAAGTTAGAATATAAAATGGAAACAATTATATTTCAAGAAATAGGAATTAAATTGACATCTTGTAACATCCATCTTAATACAGGCTGTATGTATCTTTATAATTATTTTTTTTAGATTTTGTAACAAAGCAGAAAATGCTGAAAATTGTAACACTTTAACATTGATTACATAGTTCGGCTCTAGGGAACACTGTATCGCGGGTGCCATGGACACACACATACACAACCACCAATTACACCCAAACTCACGAGAAATGTAGGCCATACAAATATTCCTCCCAGCCCAGAAATCGAACCCGGGATCTCTGCTTGGCAGACCAGCATGGTAACCGTTCGTCCACAGTGGCAGTTAAAAAGTTTTCAAGTACATTTTATTTATCAACCACCTGACAAACCTATAATTAGTAGGAAATTAAAACAAGTGAATGAAAAAATGACAGTCGACTAATTTTCTATTTTTAAATTGGACCTAAAATAAAATAACCGGCCAGATTTTTGAAAAAACACTGAATTATTTTGGAGATGTTCCCAGCGTTCTGCTAAATTTGCCTCTTACCAGACATGTAGCCCCAGGTCTTCAGTTATGACCAAAATGTCTGTAATAAATGAAATTAAAATTCTCTCGTCCGATAACAGACAGCGAATGACATCCCCCTTGAATTTGAGAGAAATAACAAGAGAATTTATCTTAGGACATACTCCAATTTTAGATAAAATCCAGCCTCATTTGGATTTATCGGAAATGAAACCTGGGACTTCTCATGTGGTACGAAGAACACTAACCGCTGTAGTCATCGGCAATATATAAATCAAAATTGTTACTCTTAATCTAAATTATCGCATTTTAAAGTGATCATGAACACTAAGAAAACTCACCCTTTGAAGTCTAAATGGTGTGATGCGAGGATCTCTGGGAGGGATCCCCAGAGAGTTCTGTGAAGATCCGTGACTGGTACTCCCCACCAGCTGGCGTACCAGTAGCGAACAGTCGACGACACAACGCAGTGGACACCTGGCAACAAAGAAACATAATCATATTAAAAATCAAGTACAATACAAAATCAATTTAGTATGGCTATTTGAAAAGATCTTACGAACTAAGATAAGCAACAAACAATTTAGGATTTTTTAAAATTACATCAAGTAATGAGATGCAAGTTGTGTACCGCTCAATTCGCAAAGGCCTGAGGGGTGATGGGTGGGTGCGCTAAATGCTTTACCTGAATTCTAGTTTTGAAATATTTATTTACTCATCAGGTCGTTTTTTTAAAAACTGTAGGTACTTCGTAAAATAACAACTGCCGACTCTTTTCTTACTAATCCAACAAAGTTAGTTCTGCAGGCAGATTATCAAATTTAAAATAAATGCTAATACGTAAAAGTGTTTAAATTAGTTGTTTGCACGTGCTTTACCGAGACGACTCACTCTTTTATTATTGTATTCTAAAAATGAAGCGCTAAGATGAATTGGTTCAAATAATATTTCGCCAACCATATATACTTATCTTATACGTTGAACATTGCCCAACCAGCCTTAGTAAATCTGACCCGGACAAGCAGTGTTTATTACGGGGCGGACGCAATTTAAGGGAGTGGCACGCTCGGGATTGTAAAGGGAAAACCAATCAGCCGTGGCCGGTGGCCAAATTCCTGCCGGCGACGCAGCGGGTGATAGAATGTACACAGTTAAGGTAGTTATGTTTATCATATACAAAATCTATTTAAAAATGCCTTATGTAGCAGTGGCGAAAGTCATTTGCAATAAGGTAAGACAACGTAAGAGGTCACAATAGATGCTGCAATGCGTGATGTATAGAGTATCACCATATTTATCGGCGCGGATTTGTAATAAGGTCGTCAGAAAAACTTTTATGACCTTATGAATAAGAGCGAAAAAGACATTTATTTATTAGGTTATTTAAAAGAAAGAAATTTATTTCAAGCTAGAAATCTTATAAACATCAATAAGGTTTTGACGCATTATTTTGTACTACTACCTATAAGGGAACGCCCACTTTACACTTTCTGTTGTTCGTTTTCTATGATTTGAACCACATTTAAACTCTCCCGCTGATCAAAAAACAACAAAACAATTCATAAAAAACAGCGAACAAACAGCCAATTTAAAAAATAAACAAATTTATAATCCTGCTGTTTAAAAATGTCACTTTCGCTGAGTCACCTTATTAACTTTCTTATAATAACACCTACAGAGACGCGACTGTCAAACATTTACCTTTCTCTCTTGCACCTGTGCGTTGCTAACTTTTGTAACTCTAGCGGAACTCGATACATTTCGGCTTGCACTGCATTTTGTATGCGTTAAAACGGGACGGAATATTGATTTATGGCATATGAAAGCGCTATGGACCGGTAATATTATCGCAGAAATTTTTTAGTTTTGATTTGTGTTTAAAACGTGTGAACTTGTAAATGCTATGTGGTAGTTGTACAAGGTCAAGAGCGCGTCAGGTTTGATACATAAAGATTTCAATTCATCTCTGTGCCGTGTGCGATAAGAACGGTTCAGTGTTAAACTTGATTGAGCAATTTGATCACTTGATTATGCGGCGGTGCAATGTAAAGTTATAATGATTCGTTAAAAAATGAGGATTTCGATTAGTGGTGCCCCACAGATGTTCGCGATTTAAAGCTCTAAAGTCGCGTTGGTAGGCGGGACGATGACCGATGGACCAAGGTGGTCACTGAGTGGTACCCGGTAGGAGCGAAACGTCCTCGAGGTAGACCACCTGCTAGATCGGAGAATATCGTATATAGTCGGGTGGCCGGAAGATTGTGGAGGATGATTGCACTGCACTACACTACACTACACTACACTATAGTATATTTAATTATATATTATTTTTAGACTATACATATAATTTAATTTTAATTTGTAGTATATTTTATAAAACCAAAAAAACCAAATACAAAGACACGACGCTAGCACATAGAAAAATTCGTGCGGTCCGTTGGTTCGTTCCGTGTCTTAGTTGGTATAGCGTCTGACACGGTATGCAAGAAGACGTCAGTTCGAATCCGACCGGATCGAAGGAATTTTTTCTGAGTGTTCGATCTTTGTATTTATAATTATAACAAACTAGTGGAGTAATTTCACAAAAAAGAATTGAATATCAATTCAATAAAAATTCAATTAGTATATTTTATATTTTTTTCATTATATTTATTTGGATATTTTAAGTTTTGTACATGAATTGCATATTTGTCTCATAATTGATTCATTGAGTGTACACGCCACACAAACACTACCCATACATATACTATCCACTATGTTAACTTAAACGAGGAAGTAATTTTTGAGATATCATTAAAAATCATAACCCAGTTTTAATATTGAAATTGTTTAAAGTTATTTTAGCTAAGTATCGTAAGTTCCGGTGCATGCTACATGTTAACTGACTTTGACTGTTATAAAATAGGAATTTTGGGCTCTTTTTCATCAGTTAACATGTAGCATGCATTTTATATACCTGACAGGCAAATAACTCCACTCCACCTGATGTTAAGTGGAAAGTGGTATCCAAACGCGAAGGAACCGGGGTTAAGGTTTAAAACGGATATTTGACCACATGTCACTTAGCCGCGCTCTAGTTAGTGGACGGTAGTATACCCAGCAGTGGGTGTTAACGGGCTGAGATGATGATAAAGAAGGGCGCGTTCCTATTATATCGTGACGACAGATAGTGGTGCAGTTAAAAGTATCTTGCGTTGCAGTGTAAAGCGGCTTGTATATTGAAATTAAAAATTATTCACACATCGACTCTTTTGAAGTTACGACGATAGAATGTCGCGACAATGGGTTGAGCTAGAACGACAGTCGTCAGGCGATAAATAAAAGGCCACGATAAAAATGTGGCGACATATAATCGCAGTTTCAAACGACTCTGTCGTGCAAACGACAAGGCGGCTGCCGTGAAGCTATAAATTGTCGTCACGATCTAGTGGGAACAGCTAGACAAGACAGTCGTTCAACGATAAAATAAATGTCCACGATACAGTCACGACAGATAGTAGTGATTACGGGAACAGGCTAGACGTGACAGTCGTCCAACTAGAAATAAAACTTTACAACATAATGGGAACGCGCCACTGGCACTGCCACGGACAGGCGTGTCGTTTACCACCAGGCGTACGACTTGTTCATCCCGTCATTTGGTATTATAAAAAAAACGAATCACAGTATTGTATACATGCAATTCACATAAATAATAATAATAAATAACGCAAACACTCATAGTCCCGCACTACAGAAACCCAGTGTCGCGGGTGCCATGGACACACACATAGAACCACAAATTACACTCAGACCCAAATTCATGTGATATAATAAAATGTACGTCATATTTCTCCCAGCTCATTCATCGAACCCGGGACCTCTGGGTCACGGAAGTAATAATACCATTAAGTACGTTAAATTAAAAACTCATCTTTTGAAAGTCTTTTTAAAAGTAATATATAATAATGACCCACTACTCGCAATATGTTTTTAAGGTCATTATGTTCACGCGGAAACATTTAGCACAGTTTGGGCGAGTGGAGGTGATGGGTGGGCCTCGGTCGTGCGGGACAACTCCGATTAGTACCGCGTCGCACTGCACTTCACGAAAAAAACCCGCAGGTTATAGGACCGACCTACTATGAGCACCTAACTGCCGAACTAAAAAACGAATCTTGTGAGCAAACGTTCAGGTGCAGACTGAAGAACCTATTATTGGAAAAGTCCCTTTACTCATTAACAGAGTACACTCAAAGTATTTAATAAATCATTAAATTATTATATTTATTAATGAATTTGACATTCACCGTATTATTATACTGTAATATACAGTTATTAGTTGTTAAGAATCCATATTGACATTTTCTGTATACACTTGACATTGTTAGTTACATTGACTTACAAATAAATGGACGACGGGTCTAATACAAAAACCAAGAAAAAAATGTCCCAAGTCAACCTATTTAAACGTAGTGACATGTAAAGGAATATGAAAAAGCTAAAACGTTGAATTTAAATTGTAATGTCATCGCAGTACTGTCTAATTTTGCTTGCTTCGCTGTCAGTCGAACAAACGAAGACTAAAGCGTAAATGACGCTCTGTATACGATTTTAACGCCCTATAAGTTCGGACACTTTTCAGCGCGGACCCGACGTCCATATAATTGTAAGTCAATGGTTAGTTACATTAAATTATTTATTAGTTTAATTGTACATTACTGTGTACTTATGACTCACTATTATATAATTATTTCTTCATTATTTTGTAAACTGACGCTCACTTTTCGAAGAGTAGTATAAAATGAGATGTAATTGTATTTGTATGAAATTTGTAATGTTAAGAGAAATAAACTATAGAATATATTATATGGTTTTCGCCGTCAATGACCATATGCGGCGTTAGAAGATACCTTTCTTTAGAAGATACCTTTTTTAGGTTTCAGTAAGTACTGAAGAAAAAACTTAAGAGTCGATACTACGTTAGCTCGAATTCTAATTTATCCCGTACTAATACGGTTCATTTTGCATGGGTCGAGCGACAGGGACACTCGCTTTATTTTTGCAAACAAATTTAAAACCATTTGAATAATGTATATCGTATATTGTACTTGTTCTATTTAGTTCTATTCATATTAAAAAAATCATTGGTGTAAGTACAGCTGTAATACTGCGCACGCGCAAAATAGGCGCTTTGTCGTCGAGTTGCGGAAACCAGCCCGTTGCACCAAGTACCAAGTACCAAGTACTGCGGTTTTCTTGTAAAATTTAGAGGTAAGTTTGTATAAAACAGTGCCACTCAGAGCTTTAAATTGCAAAGATCTGAGGAGCACTATCACTGTGCCAGTCTGTGGTGCCAGATTATTTCGAGGGGTCGTGAGGCGACTAAAAACGTGACTCGGCGATATTTAGTCTATGTTTGAAATAGGAAAAGGCGATTTTAGGCTACTTAATAAAATGTCTGGGGAATTACAAACTTGGTTGGGGATTTTGTGGGG